GAGTTTCAAAGTTCTGGTGCGGAAAAATGCAACCGCCCAAGAAACTTTGCCTTGGCCCAGAGTCCCTTTCAAACACTGCCGAATTCTCCCAGGATCTTCAAGTGCCAGGAAACCAAGCAGAGGGCCTTTCCCCTCCCGTGAGGTAAGGGAAGGGGGAAGCTTCTGGCTTTCAGTTCTGTAGGAGTGGATTTCAGCCCTGCTTGTTCCCTGGATTCTTTAGTGCCTGTGTTTTATTGTTGCTGCTAGATCCTGGCACCCAACAGGTTAATCCCCAGACCTCACCCTGGGCATTACATTTCTTCTTCTCTTTTAAAATCCCCCACAGGCAAAGAAGGAAAAAAGTGGTGTGGTTTTTTTTTTTAAGGTGCTAAAAATATTATCAGGAAATTCTTTTCAGCAATGTTATGTTTTAGGTTACATTTTAGACTCAAGGGCCTCTTTGTCTCCACAGAGAAAATCCACAGTTATCATCAGCAAATCGTTTTATCAAGAAAGCTCAAGTTATCCCAGCAAAGCAGCACAAAGCTCCCTGACAGAGCTAGAAAAACCCTGTGATGCTGGCAATTAAGATGCCTAAATATGCATTCAATTTAGATGGCTATTTCATGCTGAATGCCCCACTACTTGATTATTAAATATGAACTATGTAAGACAAAACAGATAATAATCATAACATTGCTACAGACTTACAAATCTATTACATGAGCATACACATTTAAAGGCCCCAATCCTGCAGTCACATCCACGCAGGATCAAGGATTCTTAGTTAGGCGGGACAGTTTCTCTTTCTTAATAAATAATAATAATGCCTAGCTCTTATTAATGCAAAATAGTTACCATCCATCCCCCTGTTCTTCTAAAGTACTATGGCCCCAATCTGGCAAAGTTGTATGCATGAGGTTAATTTTATGTGCATAGCTGCAATGAAGACTACTAACATGCACAGAGGTAAGTATATATGTCAATCTTGGCAGAATAGGACCCTATCCTAGAGCAACACATTTCTACAGAGCTCAAAGGTGTGTCTTCATTTTTCTCCCTGATTGTATGTCCTTGCTCACAGCTGTCAAATATTGCCATGTACTGGTAACTCAGTATATAGTAACTCTCTCAATACATCAGCTGCTCAGACCCACCTCAGTATTGCCAATGACACAAGTTCCAGACTCATACACCAGGCCCGGAGAAATCCTGTGATTGGTTTAACAATCACAAGGTTGGACCCAGAATTTATTATTTCTTTCATTTTATTTGCCTCTGGTTTTTGAGCTGTTCGAGTTCCTGTTTTGAAGCTTTTCTCTACAACCATGAGGGCTAAAAGGTGACCTTTTTCTTTTTAAGTTAAAACTGAGATTCTCATGTAATCACCTGACTCCAGGAGCTGGGGATTTGAGAAAAACAGCAAATACTGCAAGCCTTGGGATAAAATCGGGGGAACTGGCAACACTGGCATCTAAAGTCATTGCAAGAGTACTCCTCTTCCCTTCGCTGAGAATACATTTTGACCGGTCTCTCAATTTAAGGTCTTCAGCTCTGGTGGAAGGAAAATGGAAACTCAGAGAACTTCCTTTTCAGAGCCCAACAAAAATGCATCAACATCCCTGCAATAACAGAAGCTGAAGAAAGATGTAGGGCATGGGGGAGGGAAGAATAAGAGTTTAAACAAACAATCCAAGGTCAAGCAGCTGAAGCTAGGGTGTACTAGGACCTAAACTCTATGTAAGACTATTCTATAGGCAGGCCCTGATGCAGCAAGGCACTTAAGCACATTTAACTTTAAGCACAGAATTAGTGTAAAGTTAGGCATGGGCTTAAATGCTTTGCTGAGTTTGGGGCTAGCTAGCCATTCTCTTCAAATGCCTTGCTGTGTAGATGATAAGGGTGGAAGACATGGATTATAATCTAACATCTCACTGGGCAATCTGAAAGGAGGAGCAATACAGTATGGCTGGAAAAGTGGAAATGCTGCTGTCCTAAGGTAGAGGCATATTTGCTGACAGTAAGCGATCAAGCCTAACACGGTGGGTTCTGCTATCTGTCTGCTGACATAGGACTGAGGCTCTTATTATTTGTACATGTCTGTTTGCTTCCCATTCAAGTCTCATCTGTGCCTCCACTGAAAACCCATTCCCGGCTGACCTGTTCTGGAGGTGCCTGGCCCCAGCTGAACACTCACAATCTCTAGGTGTCGAGCGTGGCTTTGGTTTTCCAGTTGGCTCCCCAGTGACCAACTGGCATGGAGATTGCTGATTGGGGAGGCAACTTGTTCACTGCCCATGCCATCTCCATATCGAGATCAGTCAATGGGCCAGTTCCCCAGCTGGTGTAAATCACTGTAACTCCACTGAAGTCAGTGGGTCAGATCCACAGCTGGTATAGATCAGCGTAGCTGCATTGAAGTCAATGGGCTAGATCCCCAGCTGGTGTCGATCAGGGTAGCACCATTAAATCCAATGGCACTCCTCTGATTTACACCCGTTGGAGAACTACCACCCAGAATAACTCCCTCTCAAGCCCAAGGAGGAGGGGTGGAGCCATGGTAAATGCAGCCAATAATCTATTCTGATCCTTTCAGATCAGGCCTACGCACTGGTCATCACTTGACCAATACAGAGTAACAGCCATCAGTCCCTGCTCCAATGCATTCAGTATTTATGACAAAACTTCAAACCCCAGCAATTTGTAAGAGGTGCCAAGAATCATCCAGCTCTCAGTGCTTTGAAAATATAAAAATCAGAATCATGGTTCAAAATAATGTATGTTTTTATTCATAGAAATGCAATATAAATATTCCCCACTGCAATGATTGCAAGGTACATTTTAATACTGAACACAGGCCAAGGAACATGTTATGTAAGGACTGAAATGGAGCCGAAAACAACAGCAGGACTCAGTTAGAATCAACAGCAAAGGGATTATGTGAAAACCAACATGGCACGTTTCCCTAAGTGAGACCCAGCTGTGCCATCAATGTGAGGGTATTCTCTGGGCTGCCCAGATCCACGCCCACACACTCTTCCCAATCCAGAGGGTCCAGTCCTGAAATGCACTGGCACTGGAATGTGGGCGTGATGATTCCCACCCTCCTGATGGAGATGGTGGTTTGTTCCTGCATGGTCTTTCCTGCCGCCACATCCAACTCCACGTAAACAACCCATTGGAGAGGGGGCAGAAACGCTAGCTACAGAGTGAGATATCCGCTCACTCACCCCAGGAGCACTGCATTGGCTGCAGGGAGCTACTCCTGATTTACAGCAGGGTGAGAAGAGAATCAGCCCCAGTGGGCCAGAGCCTTGGCTGGTGTAAATTGGTGTAGCTCCATTGAAGTCAATTGGCCAGATCCCCACCTGGTGTAAATCAGCTTAGCTCTGTGGAGATCAACAGACCACCTCCCCCACTGGCATAAATCAGCATAGACCCATGGAAATCAATGGGCGAGATCCCCAGCTGGTGTAAATCAGCGTAGCTCCATTAAAGACAATGGGCCAACTCCTTGAATAGCATGAACCAATCTCACTCCAGTGAAATCAATGATGCCACATTAATTTACACCGGCTGAGGATCTGGCCCAGTGTGTCTGAGGGCCCAGTCCTATGAGGACCTGAGCACTTCCTGCTTGCTGTGGGGTCACCCTCAAGGGTGCTCAGCAGCTGACAGCACTGGGTCCCTGTGTAGGTCTGGTCTCACTTTCACTGACTCCGGTGTAAGGCCAGAGTGACACCACAGAAGTCACTGGAGTTAGGCCGGTGTGAGAGCAGAATTGCTCTACATGCCTGTATGTTGCATGGGGTGGGGTGGGGTGGGGAAGATTTACCTGTATCATGGGAAGGAACAGAATCAGATGTCGCTTATCAAATATTGTTAAAAGATGAAATGCAGGAAGATCCATCCAAAGCCTTGAAAATGCCACTGTTGATTTCCTTAGCAAACACCGTCTATTCTCAGCATTTAAAATCAGTGCTTAAACAAACCACAACATTGGGACAAATTATGCCGCCCCCCCACTCCTGGCCAGTCATGAGAAAATGTGTAAAATGCTAACAGGTGAAGGCCAAAGCGGTCCCAAGATGATTGCCTCTCTTGCCATGGAAACCACATTTTGATTCCTTCAGGGATTTGCTTGGAGCCTGTGGCTGGCAGAGTGGGTGGAACATTGAATTTTACACTTTGACGCCTCTCAGGGCCAGTGAGTCACAAAATGACTTGGCTTTGAGCTAATCCCAGCCACCTGCCACCATTAAAAAAGGCCTGCGTTTCCTGAAAGGATGAAGGGCTTGACCAGTCTCCAGGCATGGTGGCGATGCGCTCTCTCACTGCGTCTCGTTAGCGTACACTAGGTTTTTGATTAATGCCGGTGGATACAGTCCCCTGCAGTTTCTGTGCACTCAAGGGCCGGTTCCTCAAGCTGCACAGATCTGTCTGATGGTGACAGACTCTGTCTAGCATATTGAGAAGATGCTGCTGAGATTGGGAGGGTCTGTCACTCCACCAGCTAGACAGGAGGCCCCTGACAGTACTGGACGAGGCCCAAATGGCACTGCTCCTGAGGGAGAGAAGAGTGGCTCCGATTGCTGGGAGAGCAGAGCTATTTAAACAATAGGGGTGAGATAACATAGGAAGTCAGGACCCATTAGTATGGTTACAACAAACACACAAAGCCCCAGCCAGACCCCTCAGCCCCTGGATGAGAAACACCCAGGTAGCACTAATCACAGAGAAGTCCCTCATTGCCAAATGGCCTAAATAAATTAATCATCAGTGGCCTGGGATTCGGCTGCGTAAGGCCTACAGTCCCCGTTGCTCCAGCCACTGGTGTGGTGCAGGCTCCTCCCAGAAACCTCTCCCCACAGCAGTGCTGGCCATGAGTCAGTCAAGCGTCCTGGCGCAGGAGGAGATGTCAGAGTCCGGCTTGCAGGCTGCAGAGTCACTGTTGAAAGCTGGTCCTGAGGGTTGTCTTTGACTAGATCTTACCAGGCTGGAGCACAGGGGCTATTTCGGGATCATTTCCCTGTCCGGAGCACTTGAGTGAGGTAGGACTGTCTCTTCCGCACCTCCTGGCCCAACTGCTCTTTCAGCGAGTTCACCTGGGGAGCATGGGGCCATTACGACTACGGAGAGGCAAGGTAATACTTCCCCATGGGGCTGTACAGGGATCTGCCTTATGGGGCCTGGGCATCTCCCCAAGGGAATACTGAGGCAGAAAATAATACTCTCCCCGGACCTGCCCTGGGGGTCCGATTCCTGTGGCCCTGCCCTCTGGCACTGCATGGCAGGGGTGAGAGGCTCTGTGATCAGAATTGTGCCACCCAAGTGTACGGCTCCCCTTGGCAGTAGACACTTCACCAGCCATAGCACCCTACTCTGCCCCACCAGCCCCAGTCTTGCCCGACGTGGCCTCTGCATGAGCTCATTCAAACCTGGTGCCCATGTGGTGCCCGTACCAGCAGCCAGGGCATGGCCTTCCCGATGGCTTTTAAAGATGTTACTGTTGTGTGCCTAACCCCTCTACCTGATCCTCTAAGTCCTTGACACGCTGCTTGTGGGCTCTCTCCCGGGACTCCAGGGACCATTCAGCCTGGAGCTGGGTGCTGCGCAGCCTCTCCGTCTCCAGCTCCATCAGGCGCTGGGCATGTGCCCGCTCCATCTCTGTGATCTGGGCCTAGCACAGAAACATAGGGCAGGGCGTCAGCCAAATCCCGCTGGAATCATGTACTGGGCCATTGGGCAATGCAGGACAAGGGCCTGGACCCAGATGCTCCTTGTCCTTTAGCCTTCCCTCAGGTCATTTCCACAGGGCAGTGCTGAGCTAGCACTGTCCGTTTCCAACAGCCACGTGGGGCTCCAGTACCCGTGTGCGGGCTCACAAAGAGCCATTTCCCCCTTTAGTGACTCTGCACCATTCACATGGTGCCTGACCCTTAGCTCCCCTGTGCTGGCTGCAGACAGGTCCCTGACCTCTCTCAAAGGACCCCTTGCAGGGTGTGGGCAAGCATGTGGACACCTGCTCCCCAGGCTCCTTCACAGCTGCTGCCTCGGGCCTGGACCCTCTCAAAGAGGTGAGTGTCTGGGCTGCAGTGCACCGTGTCCTGCCTCCCTGTCCCTGGATCCCCTCGCTTCTCAGAGAGACTGTGTCCAAACAGCACCGTGTCCCGCCAGATCTGGTCTCTGGGGAACTCCACATGGGGGGCGCAGGCTGGGGGGTGAGGAGAACTGGCCTTGGCCAGCGCCTCCGCCTGCACCCAGGCCACAAGACCCCATGCACCCCATCTCCTAGCCAGGGGAGCCAGGACATGGATTAGAGCCCCCTGCAGGAGCAGAGAGACTTTCCCTGCCCTAACAGGAACCAGAAGATCTCCTCACCCCACCAGGCCTGGAAACTGGGAGACCCCTTTCCTGGGCACCTGGCCTCCTCCTCCCCAGCCACGGAACTGGGGCGGAAGAAGTTTCCTGGGTAGAGCCTCCTCCCAGCAGGCACCTTCCGAGACCCCTGGCCACAGATGATGGCATGGGCTACGGCTTCCTTTGGCTGGGACTCTAGGCATCCTTTGGACTCTGCTGAGCTCCTGTTTGCTCCTACTTACCCCCTGCCTGGCCCGCCTCCCTCTGCCCACACCCCCTGTGCTCCTCTCCCTCCCTTTTCCTACTCCCATGAGCCTTCATCTCATCTCCTCACCCCAGGGCAGAGTAACCCTCTAAGGCGCCCTCATTTCCTGTGACAAACCACCGTTACCAGTGGACTGACCTGCAGTGGCTGATTCTGTCTCAGGGTGTCCTCCACCTCCTGGTGCAGACTGCTCAGTGACAGGTCCAGCTGCTTCTTCTCTGCACTGAAACGCATGGCATTGTCTTCTTTCCTGAGCGTCTCCCGTTCTGCCTGCAAGGACAAGTCGCATGGCAGGGACCTTCACTTCCCCTCTGGCACGCACATTGCTCAGCAGTTCCCAGTGGGCTGGGATTTTCAAGGTCTTGGGCTGATTTTCAAAAGAGCCCCACTGCACCCCTGAAAACCTGGCCCTACCAGCTGGCACACATAGCTGGCTTTGGCTGCCTGGAGCTGGCACGCTCATTGAAGCCAGGGTACCTTCTGGAGTGTCTGCTTGCTGAGTTCATTATTACAGCAACAGCTAGAGACCCATCCCAATCTAAACAGACAACACAGAGAAAAGGTGCAGAGTGGAAACTGAGGCACAGGGAGGGAAAGTGACTTGTCCAAGGTCACTAGCAGATGCAGGGCTAGCACGCAGATCCCCTGCCTCCCAGTCCAGTACTCTTCCCACTGGACCATCCCAGTACCTATGAGAACAGCTGCATCAAGATGTGGAACTGAGGCAGAGGACTTTTCTATCTCCCAGGATTCTGTGCTGTAGGTGAGGGCAGTGTGGGGCAGGCCTCCTTCAACAGAGGGCAGAGTGACAGCAGAGGAATCTTGGGAGGGAAACAAGGGAGTCACCGGAGGCAATGCTGAGGGAGCAGTCCGAGGGGGAGGGTGGTTCCAGAAGTGAGGGAGCAGCCATGTCAAAGGCCATGTGTAGATTGAGAAGGAAAAGAGCGTGGTGAAGCACTGGAATGGGTTACCTAGGGAGGTGGTGGAATCTCCATCCTTAGAGGTTTTTAAGGCCCAGCTTGACAAAGCCCTGGCTGGGATGATTTAGTTGGTGTTGGTCCTGCTTTGAGCAGGGGGTTGGACTAGATGACCTCCTGAGGTCTCTTCCAACCCTAATCTTCTATGATTCTATGACAGAGATGGAGAGGAGACCTTGAGACCTGGCTAAGAAGAAGCCGGGGAAACCCTGGGGAGGGAAAAGCCAGTGGAGTGGAAAGGGCAGAGCCCAGGCCGTGGGAAGAGACAGCACATCTGAGGTGTTTGGAGGAAAAGGCAGGTGGGATCAAGAGAGAAGCAGAGTTGGGGGAAGACCCCAGGAGGTAGGGAAGGACTCAGGATGATGGGACGGGGGTGGGGGGAAGCAGTGGGATGAGGTGGATCGTGGGGAAGGCTGAGGGTTTGCAGCTGAAATGGGGACACCATGCCGGTCACTATTCAGTGGAAGAAAGAGCCATCAGGGACTGGCCTCACAGCCCAGAGCTCTGGACACAAATCAACTTCTTGGCAGTTTGTTGAGGTCTGAAGGGCCCTTGGGCAGGCGAGACCAGCCGTGGAGCAGAGCCACATTAGCCAGGACAGTGCAGTGAATGCCTCTCCTCCAGTAGCACTTTCAGTATCTGTGCACACAGTGCACAAAGGCTGGCCAGGAAGAACCACGCTGCAGAGCTGAGCTCCCGAAGGGCACAACCATCTTCAGGGCAGCATCTGGAGGCTGGTCATGGCATGATGGTACAAGCAGGGCTGTGTCTAGAACCCCCAGCTGCGAGAAGGTCCCCAAAGGCCCAGCGCTTGGGCGATGCTCTGCGTGGAGCCTGCTGGCTGGTCAGGGGCCTTTGTTACCAGCAGTCCCTGCCCTGCATGAACAGATAAAAGCCTCCAAATAACCAAAGGAAGGCCTGTCCCTTTAAAAAACAATGAGCGTCTCCTGGAAGAAAATGTTAAAAGGAGAAGAGAAGAAAGCAAAATCCAAAATAAATAAACGGCCACATCCGGATTTCCCCTCCTGAGACGCTACTCAAGGGTTTTATGAGTTCGATATGAATTACCCTCCCTGGCCATTTACAGCTGATCTTCTGGAACTCATTAGCTATCCTCTCCCGCCCCCCAGCCCAGGGGAAGAGGTTGAGCACAGGGAATAAAGGGGCACCATGTAAAAGCTATTTCATGCTTGCTGAGACTCTCATACAGCCTGTAATGTTGCTTTTCCACAACAGAAAAATATCACATTTCCCTTCATCCTAGTTTCTGCAGCTAGAAAATCCATTAAGATGCCTGATGGACAATCCCTATTCAGTGCCAAGCTCAGCCAGCAAAGGCATACCTGGCTTTCCTGCCTCTATGGCAGATCCAGAGCAGAACATTTCCTAGCCTCAACTCTGGGAGCACGTGTTTTCAAGGATCCCAGTTCAGGCATTCCCTGCTAGCTAACACTAAGACATTAGACAACAAAACGTACTTTTATATAGAATTCTTTATAGAGAGCCCCACCAAGCCCTCTGCAGGGGGAACTGGATAGCTCAAAGGGTGAATAATGGCCTCTAGTGCCTTATACTTCTAGAATGATGGTTTGAACTCAACCTGGATCAGCTGTGACCTAGAGAGAGGTGAGAGAGTCCAGCCTCAACAAGGTAACTTATCCGCATAATTCTCACCCTGGAACACAAAGCTTTACTAATGTTGCAAGTCAAGATGGCCCCAAATCCAGGTGTTCTCTACCCCAACAGCTGTCTAGTGACAACAGGGCCACCCAGAGGATTCAGTGGGCCTGGGGCAAAGCAATTTCGGGGGCCCCTTCCATAAAAAAAAGTTGTAATGCTATAGAATACTATATTCTCGTGGGGGCCCCTGCAGGGCCTGGGGCAAATTGCTCCACTTGCACCCCCCCACCCCCGGGCCGCCCTGAGTGACAATGGTCCTTCCTTCTCCAAGGGTGCAACCCAGCTGCATTGAAGATGGCTGCTCTTGGAATGGCTTCCACAGCAAGAAATATTATTGCTTGATTGGATTGTTTTTCCTTTCTTTGCTGATATTTCTTGGGATTTCGAATGCAAACCCCAGGGGGTTTGATCATTATAACAACTTCTTTAGCACCGAAAGGGCCCAACTAGGACATGCTGGGAACAGCTACAGCAGTGAAAAGGAGCAAGCAAAGACAATGAAGCTGACGTGCTGAAGTCATGCATGCTGCCCACTAACACATCTGCACATACCTTTTCCCCTTCTCCATCCAAAGGTTGCTTGGCTCCACCTCTGGAGTGAGAACCAGGAGTGACAATTCAACAGAATGCTATGCAAATGTTCAAAAGGAGCCCATTGTTGGATTGCAACATTAGGATATTCTTGCAGAGTTACTGGACTGTATTGATGATTCCTTCTTCCCTAGGAATCTTACTGCTTGGAATTTGATCATTCATGACAAATGAAGTTTAATTTAAAATGTCTGAAATGATCTTTGAGGAGGATTTCCGTTGTCCCATATTTTCATTTCTTGTGTACTGTTTTGTATAATCACCCTGCAGCAAAGTGCAAATCTTCCCAGGAGATCAACAGGCAATCCCAGGGAAGCACTGCACTCTGATGCAGGCACTCACTGGCATTAAACAAGATAAGTAAAATGCACCAGCTCTCACCATCTTGCTTTTCTTCCTCGACAGCCTAATTTATGCTCCTTCTAGCACTCTCAGGGAGTATATTGTTATCACTCACACAGCTCCCAGCTAATTCACTATGGAAGGGGCATAGCTCAGGGGGGCAGAAGGGTTTTGTGGTTAACACACTGACTTTAGCCTCAGGAACGCTGGGTTTGAATCCCAGCTCTGCTATGTGAGATCTGGAGCAAGTCACCTAATCTGTTTTGGTGCCTCAGTTCTCATGGGGATAATGTACCTTCCTTTCTCCCACTCTTTGTGTATTTCAATTGTACACTCTTCAGTGCGGCAATTGTCCTTTACAATGGATGAGTACAGCACCCAGCATGATGGGATGCCAGTCTCCTTTGGGACAGAAGGGTACTACTGCAATAATGAGCCATGAACAGAGGACTAATAGTCTTTTAGCCAGCCTTGGCGCTCATATCATGGAGTGTTGTGTTTCTTTTTGACTTTCCTGCACCTTATTTCTGAGGTTGCATAAGGGGAACTGGAATGTAGTCATGACCAAGAGTGGAAGATACAGTATTCATCACATTCTCCTCTTCTCCCTCCCAGTGCTAATGCAGAACAACTTGATTAGTTCAGTATGGACCTCTGAAATAGATCTCTATCCGACAGTATCACCAGAATTGTATTGGACACTCCCTGGAGCTGGGAAATGCCTTGTGACTTTCGGCTCAGAGCGGGATGTTTAAACGACTGTTCCGGAGCTTCGTTTTCACACTGTCCCTTAGAATCCCGATGATGTACCAATGCAATGCAATGTATGCCAACAGGAATTCAGCAGATTCAGCAGCTCACTCCCATCCCACAATCTACAACTGATTTTTCAAAAGGAAACCAAACGGGTGGCTCTATCCTCTGCAGCGCAGCACACCCAAAATCACAACTGCACACACACATGCCCATTTGTGAAGAAAACCAGGACAATGATCTGACTACCTTGTGTGAATTAAACTCCTTACTATAGTAAATGGAAAGCAGTGACATAGTTAGGGAAACAGCTGTTGGACACAGCCAGAAGTGACTTCCTTTGGGTCAAATTCTGGACCTGATGCAAAACCCAAGGAGCTGGACTGTATGTTGGGAAGGTCTGGCAGGAAGGAATCCTTCCCCACATCATGGAGATGATCCATGGTAGTTATCTCTGGCCTCCCCTTCTTCAGGAGGGAGAGCCTAGCAGATCTGCACCACTCTTTCCTTGGCCTCCCCCCCATACATTGATAGCTCCCATGGACCTGTTCTCAGGGGTCCTGGGCCCCCATCCAGGGCTCTCCACATCGGCCCCACCCTACACAGTCACCTGATCTGTGAGATGGGAGGGGGGAGGAGAGCAGAGGGGGTGTGAATTGCTGACTCCTTCCACTTAATGCTCCTAGCAAAACCTTAATCCACACCCTGTAGGACATGCTTGTGTCCAATCCATCAGGTACTGAGTTTATCTGCTACAACCAACTTGACCTTTCTCTTATTAGTGACTTTGTCTCTTAAGAGACCACCCCAACGTCTCCCTATACGTACTGGGCCAACTCGGCTCTAAGTCACACTAGCCTCAGTCAGAGGTAACTCCATGGACTTCAGTGAAGTGACACCAGAGCTCCATGAGTGCGACTGGGAATG